AGCTGGCAGTTCAGGTGTGCCGCCCTCACAGAACCTCCTTGACCTTCCTCATGTCGTGGGAGGTAGGACTACCAACAAATACTTTTACTTCCTTGTACCTAAGACTTCACGAAAGCGTTCGTGGCGAACTTCTAATAAGGGGCCTTGTCGAAGAAGCTCCGGGCTCTTTTTTGATAGTCTCTCCTTATTGGTTTCAACACTAAAGTCATTTTGTGCCGTCAGGTTGTTATTATGTCTTCGTGTGACCGTAATAGGTACCTCCTGCAAAAAAGGTCAAAAGATTTTAATTAACGATGCAAGGTGGAATCCAGCAAGGTAGTAAGTCTGGCGAAAGAAGAATGATGTATTATTAACATTTAAAAAATTATTGTAATTAATGGCAGTAATGTATCTACCCGTCAATATCTAATGATATTATTAGATTTATTTATTGTGTGTACGTGTGAACGTGTACATCTGAGTTTGTCTTAGTTAAACCTTACAGTGAAAATCTACGGTAAAATGAAAGTTGTGATAGATGCAAGTAATAGAAATACGTTTATTTATATGGATTATAAAGCCTAATAGAGTTGCAAATACACCAGGTATAGTAATCTTGGTGATTTAACATAGTGTGACCCACAGAGACCCAAAACCACAAGATGAATGACCATTTTAATGCGACTACTGAAACCTACTCCCCTTTTTGTAAATTCGCATATTAAAAATTTCAAGCAAAAGATTAATGGGTGGTGAGATTAAGGTGATTCATGATTTATTTATTTAATTCAGGAACAAGTCAAGAATTTCACACGTGTGTGTATTAAACTGTGCTCTATGCCATTTTACCAATTTTACTGACTTCTACCACACAACAAGACATGTTAGAAGTACCAATTAGTTTATAAGTGTATAGTTTGGTGGTTTCTACTCAGGACATCAAAAATTCGCAGTACGATGAACTATGACGTGACGCCATCTAATTAAGAAGTTTGGACACCTGAATACGTTTGATGGTGAATTGAACGACAAAGGGAAAACCAACTGGAAACTTATTTTGTTTATTTATTACATCAGTCTGAATTAGGTACATGCAAATAACCTCATTTACAACCATAAACAATTATCAAACTCGTTCTTTATAGCTTGAATTAACTGTGGGCTCTCAAGAATCGATTTCTCCGCAGATTTTTGTATTATACTTAAATGAAAATTTAATAACTGACTTCCTTAATGTTTATTAGTGCAGTTTATGATCAGGAGATTATAAAGTTTAAAGCGTTAATCGTTGTCTGTGGCGGAGTGTATCAAAAGTATTGTTATGATTTATAGCACAACTACAAGGTAATTAGAAATTATTTAAAATTTAAATTTTTAGTTACACCGGTTGTAAAAATTCTCAACTTTACATAGATAAGCTAATTATAGGTTGTTAAAGTACTTTTTAGTGGTTGTACGTGCGGGCACTAAAACGCAAGGGAAATATACACAACAGTCAAAAAAACACAGTTAGGTGATCTCCAACGAACGTATATTTTCATATAAGTCACAACAGTCTGATAATAAGTAAACAGCTTAACATATTCGCAGTGGTTTGCAGTACTGAAAACCTCATTCTCTGATTTCTACAGCGTGTTGTATCTTTACAGCTTTCATCCTTTAGATTGTAACCGAACACTAACATAAATTTTGAAACAGTCACGAGAGCATACAAATAAAATGAAAATATCCGACGCAGGTTTACCAATTAAACAAGTTTATCAATCACCAGATTTCGCGATCATGGTCATAATCGGCAGATATAACGATTCAAAGGTTAGCTTTTGGGGTCGTGTGCCCGTTTGTTTTCTTACACTTTTAATTACTAACCGCAATTTTAAATTCAAATCTATAAACTAACTTCGAGTTTTTATTGATATTTCTAGAAACCAATGGAATGAATCCGCAAAATGTTTTTCCTGATTTCATTTAAAGACATAAAATGTCATTTAATTTTAGGACGTTATTATTTTATCCGAGGTAATTGAAAGTAAGAGGAAGTTAACTTTCATAAATATACCAGTTTTATTATTATAAGAGGCAGTAGTATTACTTATTTTTTATTACTGTGTATTTTCATTGATTGTTCCCATTGTGATTATTCACGAAGGTATTACACTTTTTTCCGAAATAAATCACTTCGGTTGTTTTACATTTTTTCACATGTAATATGCAAATAAAGCTCACAACATCGATTTCTTTTCCTTTGGCTTTTCTTTGAAATGTTGTTCGTTTCTCAGATTAAGTTGTGCATTGATTGTTAGTCATCTGATAAAACTCAACCAGATGTATTCATTGGCTTTTTTCGAGACCCACGCTTTGCAATTTATTATCGAATGAATACTTTCAGTTTTTACAGAATAGCTTTATTTATTACAATTTCTTTGTCCTACAAAATGAAAATTGTCTTGATTAATCACTTTTATTTTCTGTTCTACTTTGCAAGCGAGACAATCAGTCACGGCTGTGGAGTTTGACCTACGTGGGTTACTGCTCACCCGAAATGCGGGCTTATACTCCTTCAGTCATACTTAAAAAGTATCACAAAGAGTCATTTTTGCAAATTTTAATTCAATAAAGATGCAGGTGTCCTTCTTTTTCTGTTCCCGAAACTAACGAATGGATTACTTTAATATGTTAATTTTATTAAGCTATTCCAGAGATATAAGTTAAAATTCGTTTATTGATCCCTCTAAAAAACTGTAAATTTTATTTGAAATGTGAAGTGTAATATATCTTTCACGTGTGTTAAGTAAACCGTTTCTATTTTTTTTTTTTTTGACCTCACGTATATAGGTTACAGTAAAAAATTATATTCGAGCGGTGTATCAAATTTTACGGTTTGGCCTAAATATTACTTAAAGTGTTTCTCACGAAACTTTAGAGGAAGGTACATTGATTTATAGATTAAAGAACTTTAATTAAAATTTGTTTATTTATTCCTCTCAAAAGTTGATGAGTTGATTTCAAAAAATTTTTTGAAACATTCTATTCGGTGTGTTTTAGTAATATTTTGAGTCATCTAACTAATTTCCTTGAAATTCTGGCACTAATAAATTAGCATTTTTGTCATAAGAGTAGTTACACAATCAAGATCTACAGAATTACACGGCAGTGATAAAACGGTATTACACGCTTCCCTTCTAGAAGTTCCGCAGTCGAGGTCTTTCTGGATTGCCCATTGCGACTTCCGCTTCCAGGCTTTTTCCGGCCGCCGTTACCGACAATGAGTCATCGTACATAGGCGACGTATGGGTTTCTTTCGTAACAATATCATATTTTTCTGTAATTGTTCAGATTGTACACTGTGTAAATAAACTGTATTAAAGTTTATTATTCTTTTATTTTTAGTTATTCGTCAAATCACCACTCGATATTAAATAATGAATAATTAATGGTCCCTAAAGATAGATAAAACGTACTCAATATAGATACTACAGTTATTTTTTTGTTTTTATCGCATGCACAAAATAAATAGTAATCTATCAACTACTGGTACTCATACACGGTGTGCATCTAATTAAAAGAGACGTGATTAAAATACATATTGAGGTGATACAATTTTTTTTCTACAACTTTTTGCTCTATGCTTATTCATTTTTCAACATTTATTTGTTTCGAATCCTGGCATCTTTGCCATTTTTTTAATGGAATTGCACGCTGTTTTAAACTTTATTAATTTGATTAAATGCACAACGTAAAAAGCATTTTAGACATTTATTGTTTTGCAGATATCAAAAAGCAATAAAGATTATATTACATATTTCATATTTCATTTCATGTCAAATAATTATTTATAATTTATAACTAATTATAGACAAGTGGTTGTAAATCATAAAACTCTATTTATAACTTTTGTTATTTTAGTAACTGATGATGAATACGCGTGTGAAACAAATATTTATCACTTTTCTGAATTTTTTGGGATAATTCGTTAATCAGCGTCTTTCTCGCATCAGGATAATTTATTTATTTAGTTATTTTTGGATGTTCCACTACTGTTTTTTTTTTATTTGCGGAAGTGCCTACTTTTATGTTTTCTAGACGTTCCATGACTCCTAAAGAATTGACGGATAATTCCGAAACTACTGTTGCATATTACTTTAGAAATATCGTGTAGATGGTAAACCACTAACCAAAATTTGTGTACTCATCCCCACCAACAATTGGATGATGCCATCTCAAATTTTGTCACAATAATCTCAATTAATTTTTTTAGAAAATCATACTCCTATACTTGTGGTTTATGGATCCACCGTAATTTTTGCCCTAGTGTCGGCCGTGCTACCTCAATTGCTCTCAACGTTCTCTTACTAATGCGAGGGTCACAGGTCTGATTTCGTTGGATGTTCCAACCCCTCATGAGCCTTTTTTTCTTACACTGTGGCTGGTTTTATCTACATTTTTTTACCTTAAATGGATTATCGTAATAAAATCAAATCGCTATAGAAGTACATATATTATATAAATGTAATTAGATTTAGATTTTATTGCTCCGTTTTTCTATCATCATTGTGTATAATTCTGAAGTGCAGTTTACAAAAACTTCCTAAGAAGATGTTGAATGTTACCGAAATAACGTTTTTAAGCCACTAGAATGTTTGTGGTCAGACAGTTTGATTTATTAAAGTCAACAATTCTGCTCGTTTAAAATGCGTTCTCTTCTTTGACATGTATAAGATGTGCATTCTTTTAATCTTTGAGTACTTTTTTACATATATGTTTTGATGGAATTGCATCCGCTTTTACGAAGATGATGTACACATGTAAATTTAAAACTCTTATTAAATTTAATAAACGCAATAAAATTTTCCACTATCGCCCACGACAAAAGTCAACACAAACATTCCAAGACTCCTGAAGCTCATACGCGAATTTGTAATTGTGCTTGCCCAACATACAGCTCGTTACCTCAGTTTGCTTACTTGCTGCTAATTCTTCCAGTTTGCTTAGTTCATTCTTAATAGCCCCTTTCTTTCCAGGAAATAGTAAACCTACTCATCCTCACGGTCACGGCCACTCGACGATCAAAGACTTGGCAGGAAGTATATTAGGCGACGATAAAAAAGACGATGGAGAACTTTGGAACAACGTTGAAGCCCAAACAGCATTCCTCGGGCCTAATTTATGGGACAAAACCTACGAAACCGACCTCAAAGTAAGCGGTTCGGTACGTTTGTAGTTTTTTTGTAAAAATCTTTTGTTCTAGTACGTGGACTTGGACGAATTTCTCTCAGAAAACGGTGTATCGATGGATGGTTTGGGCTCACACGGATCACTTGGACCCTTGGCCAGTTCGCATCCTTTACCGAAAAGGGAAAGGTCACCGAGTCCTAGCGACTGTATGAGTCCAGATACCATTAACCCTTCATCACCCGCCGACTCAAGTAAGTTAAATAGGTCATTCATTCTGCGAGGATCATCTAATGGTTTTTACGAAAATAAACAAAACTCGGGGAAGCAGTTTACATCTTTTTTTTTTTTTTAAGTCTCTAAATCACATACCATCTGAAAATTTGAATTTTGTAGCTCCTTTTTTAGTGGTATTAAGTAATGGAGGGAAATATAAGTAAGAAAAAGATCTTGTTAGAGACAATGAAAGTGCTAGAACGATCATTACATTGATTAATGATTAGTGATTGATGAGTCATTTTCGACATTTCCAAATGGTACACTTAAAATTACATAAATGGTGCTAACTCATCATTTCGCTACCATGCTGTGTGCAAGACGCTCATCAGGAAAACAAATTTAATAAAAAAATCAGGAAGTAGCGTGAGAAAATCACAGGGAGAGGTCAAACATTATTTTATGTAAAATAATTTTTAATGGCGACTGGACGTTTTTTGTGTATATTTTGAGAACATAAAATTTTTTAATGGCAAAGTGAAAAGGATGCGAACAAGAGAAGCGAAATTACGGAAGTAATTACGTAAATACATAATCCATTTTTAGAACTTTTCGTTGCCGGTATCAGAATCATAACATGAACTTTTTTAAAATGACTACAAATTGTCACTATTTACTTGGATCATGTACTTTTTTAAAAATATACACAAACGGGCTTAACATTAAAAAAAAATTAATAATGTTATACTTGAGAGCAGCAGCAAAAATTTTCGATTGTGTTCATAAAAAGTCTTGACTTGTGCTACCGTTTTTTATTTTTTTATGCAGCAATGAAAATAATATTGACGATGTAGCACAACTTGAAACCCAATTTTTTTTAACTTCTTTTGTTCCCTTTTTTTCATGTTTTGATGCTGTTTCTTTTATCCAGTAAGTTCCATATTTGTTGAACACACCGTAGGTGCTACTGATTGTGTTATCAAATGAGCAAACATTAAAAACAAACGCATTTTGACATGGTGTGGATGCTGTTACTGTTCACACAAAAGTTCTATTCAATGCGATATTTTATTTCACAAATAATCTACTTGTAAAGACACTATTTTTGTATACTAATAAAATTGTATGACCCTGTTAGTGTAAATTAGTGTGAACAATTTTGCTGGTAGGATTTTTCGTCGATCTTTTACAGATGACGTATAGCTTTGAAATCTTTGAAATATCAGGGTTGTGTTTAGAAAGATATTTTTCCAGGATGTTCGAAGTTAGTTACTATAAAATAATAGAACTACGTTAATATTTTATCATTCTAACCATTTGTTTTGCGGATTACAGACTTTTTAACGTTTAGGTTGTAAAATTTTGTTATTATTTTATCAAATAAGTAAATTAATAAAACGTTAAAATTTCCCAAATAGGTACAGAAAAAAGTAATTCAAAATAATTAGCTGTTACCTGTCAATTTTATTTTATGTTTCGTATGAAATGTTTGAAAATGTGAAAAATGAAAAACCTGTTGATGTCTGCGATGGACGCGTAGAATGTTACAATCAAATAATACCCATGTTTGATACAGACCGCACGTTTCTAGAAAAATTAGAAAAACTGTTTTTGAGCGAAGTTGCTTTTACATTAAATGGTTCGTTCAACAAATAGGCAAGCTTCTAAATACCGGACTCGAGTAAATCCTCGCTGGATGCGCTAATTCCATACTCGGCATCCTGCGAAGGCATTGTTTGGTGTGGACTAATAGAGGACAGAATAATTGGACCTTTTGTTTTTAACGAGTTGGGCTAAACATAGTGAATAATGAAGATTTAAATACGCCTGATGCCTAAATTTGGTATCAACAAGATGATTCATTATGTTGTTGATGTTCAATACTTTTTGGATATAATGTAATCCGTACCTCAATCCTGATTCGTAATGCACAGGAGAGTTTATTTTCCTTATCATGCTGTGAATAACCGTTTTCAAAAATATCTTTTGTTGTTCTGTTCATATTTTTGCAAAATATGAATTGTGACTCCATAGTTTTTTCGCTTCAACATATTTTCAGAATGTAATGTCTCCATTATTAACAGACTCATTGCGATAATATTTTAAATAAGTTGTCCACAACTTCTCTATATAACACAGCGGAGGTTTTTTTTAATAGCTACCACCATCATTCTTTTTAAAATTTAGGTGAAAATTTACATCACGTATTTTTGAAAATTAATATTTTAATTATTATTTATGGAAATTTCAGAACTGTTGTCAGCTTAAAAAAATCTATACGTTACGTGGAAAACATTGTCGATTTCTTTTGTTGAAAATGAGATAAGCAAAAGTAGCTTCTTCGACACAAGCTTCTTTCTCATCTCAGACAAAAAATCAACAATGTTTCCCCAGTAATGCATAGAATTCTGTAAGGTGAAAACTGCGTTACGAAATTTCCATAAATAATAGAGATATTGGTTTTTAAAGATACGTGATGAAAAAGTTCACCAAAATGCTAAAAAGAAGCGTTATATTTCGAAAGATCCATTTATCTCTCCATAAAGTATTGCAATATATAAATCTTATAACGATGATTAGAAAGCTAAAAATAGGCAAGTGAGAATAGGTAAAAATATATAGGATGTTCTATTTAAACAATAATTAAGTTGAGTTTTGATGATTCTAGTGTATGGTACTCAAAGAACCATACAACTATAACTAATGAGACATCAAGGCCTCACGCTGAGTGACCCAACCTGTATTATATTTTTTTCAATATTCGTAACAACTGATGACGTCCACTTGACTCGATTTCTAGAATTTCCTCCTCTTAATTGTTCAAATATAAAACTTGCAAGTGAGAGGGAGGACGAGTTCCATGCGATTTTCCAAAATCTTTCTTTCACAAAAGTTGCAGTACTTGTAGCCGGTGACCTAAAACTTTCTAAAAAAATTTGTCGTGTCAGCTAAAAATTTTCTTTAGTTTGTGTAAACCTTAACCGAGGTTGGTTAGCATATTTCTTCAAATGCCTTTGAACATATTTAACGTAAACTTCATGTGTAACATGTCCATTTTGTTCCGTTATCTTACCAAGACAGCAGCTCCAGTAGTTTTTCAGATACTCATACTTGAGCATACACTGCATTACTAATATTGAATCTTCTTGACTTGACTTCGGCTTCGTTTTAAAATATTTTTGCTGTAGGTGATTTACCATCAACGACATTTAAATGAGGAATCGAATGATATTAAATTTAATAAAATGTATCAACAAATCTATCAAAGTACCCGGTGAACTTACAATTAGATACAGAACTATTTTGAGGCACACTGCACAATGTACATGTTGTTGGCACCCTTGTGGCTAATAAAGTTATTAATATTATTGGTTGCGTTCTGCTTAAGTAGTCAGGAATGCTTATTCTGTTAACTAGATTTTGTTGGAATTGTATTTACAAAGAAAAGAAAAGTTTTTAAAGCAAATTGTTAGATGTTATGAAAAGACTATCCATTGCTCCTCATCCCAGTACATAGAAAATTTTTTCTCAGATGATTTAGCAATACATGCCACAGTTTTACATTTTAAACATTTTAAACAGGCCTAATACCAAAAAATTACTTGATTTTAGTCCTGATCGTTTTTGGTGTGTACCACAATAATGAGGAAATCACGCCAAAAACATTAAACTTGACAGAAAACGCGAATTAATTTCAATGGAAATTAAACTAATTAAGAAGTGGTACTAGTAATCCGTAACCTTTCGCCACAGTTAGTATCAGTATCATGGAACTCCACTGGATTATTGCATTCTATATATGAGAATATTGCTTTAAAAAACTCGAAACTTTGTATACTTACTCTTCCCCGAGTTTAACAGTGTGTGTAAGTTTGCATGAACTTCTAATATATATAAACCCAAAAAATCCTATAACATTACTTAAAACTTTAAGTATTGTCATTACTTAAAACTTTAAGTACCGTACAGTTAACATAATATTAAGTAGCCCCTTTTCGGCTGATTGAAAATTGTATATATTAAAATTTGTCCCTTTTTCTTCAAAACTATCGTCCATTATCTCCGCAAGGAGCAAACATCTTAGTCATTAAGTTGCACAGACACTTTTCTACCTCCATTTGTTTCACTGACATTTTTTCCCAGTACCGCTGTAACTTTTCTCACTTCATTCTCATTCATTTCCAACTGCTTGACATCATGTAGGTAGCAAGGGTTTAGCCTTTCCATGTAGATTTAGTCGTAAATTCTGCTTTGCTTTACTGACAGTAGTAAGCAGTAAGTTATAGTATAGGTGCAAATTTAACTCTGTTCCGAGATAAATATGCTTGCACTGAAATAAAAGCGTTGCAGGCATACTTATTGCAGAGTTCAGTTTCCGCCAAAAAGCCTTATTAAACTTCAGAAAAACGAGTACTTGATGTCTCGATGTGACCTTACTAGATTCGTAGTTGTGGTGTCGAGAAGAAATTTAGTAAGGCAACGTGAGAGAGTAAATTATTGTGTGTGTTTGCACAATACTAATATCTAAAATGCAGTTTTTTCTGAAGCGTTGTCAATGGCTTCGAGTTGTCGCGACTTCGACCCACGGACAAGAGCATTTTCAGATGAGGAGCTCAAGCCCCAACCCATCATCAAAAAATCCCGCAAACAATTCGTACCAGACGACCTAAAAGACGATAAGTATTGGGCCCGGCGTAGGAAGAACAATTTAGCCGCCAAAAGATCTCGAGACGCCCGCCGAATGAAAGAAAATCAGATCGCTCTTAGAGCAGGATATCTCGAAAAAGAGGTGAGCATTGAGGAGTACTAGGTACCACTTCGTTTACGTGTTTGTTCCTGAAAACTGATATACATAATTGAGATTGTATTTTATTTTGCAGAATGTTGGTCTCCGTCAAGAGCTTGAACGACTGAAAAAAGAGAACTTGATGTTACAGAACAAATTGGCGAAATACGAGGATGTGTAATGTTAAAGTTACTGTTTTCAGTCTTGTATAGATTTTCACACAACAGCCGTTCACTCATCCAACTCGAAACTGTTCAGTGAAAAGTGTTCCTTCAAAAGGCGATCCAACATTTGTAAATAAAACATGCACATTATGTAGTCATCATGTAGTATTAAGTTTATTACTGTAGAAGAAAAATTTAAGTACATAAAATGTTCGCTTTGGTCAGGAAGTATTTAGAACCAACAGTAATCATTATAGTACACTGTTTTGTGATATTAAATAATGAATATGTAAATACGGTAATAAAGTATATAAGTTTACAAAGTTTCATTAATCTACCGTCAATCATCACAAATCATTTTTATTGTATTAAGATATATTCTATATTAGAATCTAGCAAGAATTGTATTAATTGTAATACAATCGTTTTTTTTTTAAGTTTTATTTCGAATGTTCCCCTAAATAAGTCCTGACCAAAATACTGCCCACTAATCGGCAGCTGATGACCTCTGTTATATTTGTAGACTTATTGTTGATTGTTTTTATGTTTATATAGTCTATTTTTTGGTTGAAGTTACTTTAGTCGTACTATTAAGCAAAAATAGTGTAAAAGAAGTAGTATGCTCACAAATAACAGGGATAGAGAAGGACCGTTCTTGCAGGGATCCATAGAGAACTAAGTAAAAGTAGTAGTGCTTACCCCTCAATGTGCTACCGTTATTTATATGCCTGAATGCAAGTTTTAGTTATTTATATGTGTTGTTTTTGGTTAAAGTTTTGCTGTTGGTTTTACGGAAAAACAATGTAATCGATATTGAGGTTGATATTATCAAGGTTGTAAAGGATGATTGATACACAAAGTGATAACTGAACGTTGAAATTATATAAAATGTTACCGTAATCTTAAGAATATACACATTGTAAAAATGACTGCAGTTGAACGTTTTACTTGTTCTTCATTACCATTAACAACTGCCTTGAAGGCATGCCTTATACATAAAAATTTTTAACTTTTATATGTATTTGTTGGGAAAAAATGTTTCCACTGCAGTGGGATTTTTATACATACGTACTGAAACGAGGAAAATTTATTTTCAGTAAAAATTTATATGTATTTACAAAATGTTACTGTTGAATGTATACTACGTATCGCTATATTTATTTATAATGATTTTTACGATGCAAATGTTAACCTAAACGGCCTCAACTTGAGAAATGTAAATTTTTATGAATATGCAGCTTATATCCGCAAAAGTACAACGTATAATGTAACTTACTAGAAAATAAAAGTGTTCAAAAATAGAAATATCTAATTATAACAACTGTAATTGCTGTTGTGAGCATTAAATTATGTAAAAATTATATAAATATTTCATTTCATTGAAACTCTTGATGAGTGTGTCTAGACTACTACTTACTACACTACTGCCACAAAAGTATGACGAATTCATCAAGAATATGTATGAGGAAACATTAAAATAATCACGAACATTTAGAAATCAATAATGTAGATTTTTGTTATGAAAACATTAAAAGAGAATAAAGAAATGTAAAAGTTGTATCTTTGCAAAGGTATTTTCATATTCTAAACGAGTTAGAGAAAGATTCAAACAAATGGGTAACGGCATTGTTTTAGATGAAGTCTACACTTATTTTAATCAAATACTGCGACACTAACCTGATGTAGAAGTATCAGAGTCAAGTACCTGAAATGACAAATGTCAACAAGTTAAACTAGGTTCATTGGATATTGCAAGAGTCATTTGTCAACAAGAGGTCCTTTACAACACGGCGAAGAAACTAACGCAATGTGGGACGAAATCACAAAGCTCTGGTAACAGGAACAAAGAACAGTCTAAAACAAGAAATATATATGAAACGACAATGGAGACGACGAATCAGATTCTGGATGATAACATAGTAGTTAATACAACTAACAAATTAAACAAATGGAAGGAATATATGGAAGACCTATTTATATAGTGATGATCCCCCAAATAGGAATAAAATAACAAATTTCAGATGACCAAGAAATAACAGAAGATGAGTCGACTAGAAAACAATAAATCGCCCGGGTCAGATGAAATACCTCTCAAAATTATCAAATTCATGAAAGGATGACCATTTAGACATCATAACGCGACTTTTTAACCGTATACATGAAACCAGTAAATTACCTGAGGATTGGCGTAACTCTGGTTTTAGAAATGGCTCTTAGAGCAAGAGAAGCTGCTCTCCTAAACAAAATTTTACAAAAGACAAATATTGATGATAAGGATATTAGAACAATCGCTAATCAGTCACTGATAATAAGTTATAAAGGAGTACAAGGGTGTATATTCCCCCCATGTTATTCAGTGCAGATTAAGAATACTCCTTATTCCAATAAGGTATTGAGACAGACGGGTGACGGAATAATAATTATTATTAACAGAGAGGTAATAAATAATTTGAGATATTCCGACAACACTGCGGGTATTACTGATGGTGCTGAAGGGCTATAAAGGCTTACTAATACAGTGGTCGATGTAAGCGAGAGTATGGAATGAGATTGAATAGTAGACAAAAACAACCATGATTATAAGCAAAAATCGAAACAGTAATGCTCAATTAATGGACAGTGGAGACCATTAACATGAACTCAAATGTGTGTTGAAAAAGCAAGAAGTGATGCCTCTAATTTAGTTCAATTCTTCGGATTCTCAAATGTTACGTGTTTTCTGTCCTGATATATGGATGGACAACCAACCACCTGTGGTTGGCGAATACGACTAACTGAGATCTGGTGCTACCAACGAATACTTAAAATATGCTGAGTAACATCGTATAACCAACGATACAGGAATGCAGCGTTCATTCAAAACACCACAAACTCTAAACATCACATAAAAAAATAAAGGTAGTATACTTTGGATACATAATGCGAAATAGCGACAAATATTGAGTTGTCCAGCTAGTGCTGCAGGATAAAATAGGCGGAAGAAGAAGCCCAGGACACCGTCGTATATCTTGGATTCGTAACCTGGGGTTACGGACCTGGGTGACAAGGACTGACATTTTCCGAGCGGCCGTAAAAAATTAGATAGGGTAATGTGATCGCCAAAATCTATAGAGAATAGGTACATCAAGAAGAACACAATATAACAGAAAAAATTGTAAAAACTTTCAACTACTACAATATAAACAACAACTACTAAACTAAATGTACTACTCTTGACTTTTTTAACAGAAACTAAGCTTTTAAATTCAACTGAAAGTTATTTAAAAAACTAGAATAGTTTTTTAAATAACTTTCAGTTATTTAAAAAACTTATTAACTACTTACCTACTGTTTTCGAGATGCAAGGCCAACTTGATTTTTTTTTTTTCAATGACACTACCATATAATTAATGCATTTTTGAACCGAAACCAAGATTAAACTTCTGTTTCTACAAACGATGCTCAAAATGCTCTCCATTTACTTCCTGGCAGTAAAAAAGACCCTGAATAGTAGTAACTTTGTAGCGAATTAATGAGAATTTCTGGACGAAGCTAGCAATTACGTTACGTATGCGTTCCTGTAAGTCTTCAGTGTGAATCGGTCTATTGATATAAACACGATTCTTCAAAGAGCCCCAAAAAAAAGTCAAGCGGTGTCAAATCCTTGACCTGACCTGACCTGGCAGACCACTCAATAGTACTCCTTCGACCTATTCATCTGCCAGGAAAAGTCGCATTTAAGTACTATCGCACTTGACGTCCAAAATGGGGTGGAGTACCGTCTTGTTGAAACCAAATAGTTTCTGCTGATAACTCTGGATTTTGGTAATTAGGAAACAATTCTCTAAGTCTAGGCACTAACGTTGCTGCAAGAACCTTACGTATCCCTCAGAATTTAAATTCCGTTTAACAAAAAAAGGACCAGTTACATGGTAACCAATAAGACCGCACCAAACATTCAGTTTTTCTGGACGCTGTGTGTGGATTTTCTCCATCCAGTATAGAAACCTGTACCTGCAGTTGTGTCTGATCGCATTACCATTTAAACAAAACGTAGAATCACAAGAAAACATTTCCGTCTTGTTGTATTCTGTTCATAATAATTTCGGTAAATTCAACTACAATCAAAATCATCTTCGTTTAGCTCTTGTACTAAATGGGTTTTGTGTGGGTGAAACTTTTTCTTTTTCATTATTGTTTGAATTGATTTTCTACTAACATTGCGGTTCAGCGCTAATTGTTGCACTGACGTTTTGGGACTTTTGTTGCGTCTAAGAGAACATTAAAGACATTGTCATCATTTATAGCAGTTTTTGGCCTGCCAGGTTTTGGACGTTCTTTAACACTTCCAGTCTCATTAAATCTTCGTTGGGTTTTTGAAAGCGTCGACTCAGAAATGTGTTCTCGATCAGGATGAATTTCACTGAAAAGTGTTATTACTTGAGCAAAACTTCGTCATTTGTCACCGTAATCGATAATAATCATCAATAATTCTATGCGCTCAGTTTCACTTAGGAGTGAAGACCAGAAAGAAAGTATGATTGTGCTAATTCAATGAATTAAAAAAAAACTTTATTCAAAAATGCATTAATTATAAGGAATTGACGTTCGGTAGATGTAACTAGATTTGCTAACTTTTTTTTTTTAAGCTGTGTAACTGCGGATATAATTGTTCTAGTGTATAATGGATAATTGGAATGTCAGAAAGTAGTATCAAAAATGTGACATGTAAGTAAGTAAATGTCAAATATCGAAAATGTGAGATGAATGACTCTCTTATTTCTCTCTACCTACCTGTGCGTTGAAATTTGTGTATGTTAAAGCTTAACATTTCGATTTTGTATTTTGATACGTAAGAGTATTGTTCTATGTTTATTGTGAAGTAGGTAAGTTTGTGGACTGATGTACATAGCTCAAAGGTTGTCTGAAGCTACATGAGGGCGCTTGCGAGATGCGAGAAATAATTCCAAAATCAGCCCGTAAAGCCATGGTCGGGCCTGCCCTCAACTGGATAAGCGTATCGTTTTTACCTGGTTTCTCCGAGTTTGTGAGCGACTCTCACAATACGACCGCATTTCGAAGTGCGGCAGTCATCTCCGATAAGTCTGTTTTAAGTGTATTTTTTTTTGTGCCAATAATGCCAATCTTTAATTTCTAGTGATCTTATGATTGCAACTTAACCACAGAAAAATTTCTGTTAGTTACATCTACCGAACGTGAATGCTTATTATATGGTAGCGCCATTTTAAAAAAAATCAAGTTGGCCTTGCATCTCGAAAACAAATGAAGCAAAACAAATTTTTTTTGACAAATAATTAGAGCACAACTTCTTGTATCCCACTATGTAATTTCAGGTGATTTGTACAATTGGTTCTCAAGATATTTATTAGTTCCAGTATATATACCAGCGACCCTGTATACTTACGCAAAAATTCTCGAAAAAATCAATAAAATTGATAGTTGTGTTTCAGTTTGATTATTTTGACGATGTTTTCCCAAATATACAGTTTCCACGTATTTTTGAAATATCAGTGAAATACAAAAGCTTAGGGGATACTCTAGAAACGTAATACATTGTGGTAATGAGGAAAAGTGTTACGGCCTGAGCAGGATTCTAAGCCACGTCTCCCACTTGTCGAACGAATATACTTACTATATTAATATACTACTATCAGGCCCCATGATTGTCTCTCCTCACGTTCCACATTGTGCGGCCAAAATATGTTGCAGGTACATGGATAAAGAAACCTGTGTGTCTTTCCCATGAAGGTTCCTTCCAAGCACTGTTTGCGAAATAAAGGAGCATATAGAGCATTCTTTTCTATTCAAAAAAAATATTGGCAGTATGATAGATAGTGTTATCCGCCAAGGACACGGGTTACTAATGCAGTAGAGGTATTACGTCAAACTTAACTTTGGAGTTAAATTTGGATTCTTTTTCATCATTTGCTGTGTGACATGTTCGTTACTTAACTGATGTGCTAAAATAAACCGATTGGAACTGAACTAATTAACAAACTATCTTCAGTAACCTTACATTTTGAACGAAAAACTCTTTGTACATCTTATTATTCCAATTTTGTGAATTGGTAGCACACAGTGATAATCCATTCTACTTATCTGTAGGACTGTAGTACCTACGCAATACAGGTGATTTGGCGGTTTAGCGCCGGAAAATATCCTAGACTTTGGAACTAATAATCTAACACAAACTCATTGAGTAAATTAATAAACTATACGAACAGACGTATATTACACAAAAATTATTTGTTTTTTTTTTTAGTGGGTTTTGTCACTGATAACGATTAAAACAGGAAGAACTAATGGTTTCATTGAAGTAGTGCGTTTAGGAAAGAAAATTGTGGTTTTCTTAATACATGTTTTATTTTTGCTGCATTATAAAAAGTCAATTCGGGTTAGAACATGATTTTATTAATTTCAAAGTATTTGCTTAACAAACGCTTTTCATTTCCGTTTTCATTTAAAAATGATTTATTTTCTGATTTTTTTTCTCTCTCAGAAATTTCTATATGAAGTAGAGATATTTCACTATCGGCGACTGTTTCAACGTGATT